ATCGTGTTCCAATTCGATAAATTCGCTAAATAAAGCTACCATTGAAAGTGCTATCGAAACATCAGATACACGTTCTGTGTATACAGTTACTCCTAGAAGTATTCAGACGCTAAGGAAACAGGCATTAAGCACGGCGCAGGCAAAAATATTCGTAATATTTTTAATATTTTTATTTTATTCATTTTAAATTCAAAATTAAAACTTAAAAATTGCGCAGGAAAAAATATCCATAATATTTTTATTTTATTTATTTTATATTCAAAATTAAAAATTGAAATCAATATTCAAAATTGAAATTTTTACCGAGTATCTGAATATTTGTGTAACATAGTGATTAGACATAATTTCCTAATTTTCTAATTGGACATAATCCTAAGCTACAACAAACGACGTTTCATTATGAAAAAGTATCAACCCAATCCTTCCATAATTAACCGAAATTCATCCGTAATATTTTTGGCAGTAACTGTACATTCTTCGACATTTCTCGTATCACATCCATTTTTCACCTTGCAGTTCATCTTTTCTCCAATTTATTTAAAAAACAAACAATGTTATTTAAAAATAAAGAATTTCGTTGACATCGTGAAATTAATGGTTACTTGTGTTCTCATTTTTCCAGAGAGCATCTACAAGGTGCCAGGCGACAACACTCACTTTTACGGCACTTTCACCACGTCGACGAACGGATTGATGGGTTCAGCGATCTGCTCGTTCCATATCGACGCGATTCAAGAGGCGTTCCGTGGAAAATTCAAAGAACAGGCGACGAGCAGCAGCGCCTGGCTTCCGGTACTCTCCAACAAAGTTCCTGAACCGCGACCCGGTCAATGCGTGAACGACACTGAAACGTTCCCGGACACCGTGCTCAACTTCATTCGATCTCATCCTCTGATGGACTCTGCCATATCACACGAGAACGAAAAGCCCGTCTTTTATAAGCGGGACGTGATGCTCACACGGTTGGTTGTCGATAAACTGCGCATCGATTTCGTCGGCCTTGATTTGGATTACACCGTCTACTATGCTGGATCCAGTGAGTATTTTGTTCAAATTGAATATTTCATTGCAATTACCAAAATTCAGTATTCAGTTTCTTTGGTCTTCGATTAAAAATATTTTTTTATCCATTCATATTATTTTTGAAGGAACACGTTTATTTATTTATAAGCAAATTAGTAAATTTTCGGATAATGAATAATTTCAGATTTATTTATAAGCGATTTAAATTTTTGAATAATGGATGATTTCACATTTATTTATAAGCGAATATGTGAATTTTTTTTCATACATTACTATTTCAGTGGAAATGATTTATTTTCTTTATGCGTTTCGTTGATAATGTTGACAAATTGTAACGAGTTCATCAAGCGAGAATTTTATCAATTTCCGCATACCTTCCCGCCTCGTAGTAATTCGTCTAATAAGCTTTTGTGCTTCATGACGTTAGAATTTGCACGCGAAGCCGCGAGAATTACGATAAGAAATTTAATTCGGGATGCGTATCTCCGGTAGACCGCGTTTTGCGTCTGATATCCGTCGGCCGATTTGTCGCTGGGAAACTTGGCAAGATAATCGCGAGCGAACTTCGAAGTTCTTGCAGTTGACTCGTACAATCTGCTATTGCAATCGCTGCTTTCGTCTCGACGCCAACTGTCGAGTGTCTATCACCGCTAAAAACTAATATAATCAGAAGTCACGCTACGAACTGCAAACCGCAAGAAACAAATTACGCGAACACGTCACAGTTCTAAGATTAATTGCTCTTCGTAATTTCCAACTTATCGATCAACTCGTAGAGGACGATCTCTTAGTTATGCTAATTAGCCGAATCACTTTCTTCTAGAATAACACTTTTCGAAAAATAGATCGGGAAAAGGTGGGTTTTCCTCTGCAAGGGAAATTACCTAATCGTCGACGTTCCCAAAAAGATCGAGAAAAGAAGGATTTTCTTCGGCAAAGAAAATTACCTAATCGTCGACGTTCCCAAGTAGTTCGAGAAAAGGTGAATTTTCCTCGGCAAAGAATACAATCGTCGACGTCCATAAAAAGATCGAGAAAAGGATTTTCTTTGGCAAAGAAAATTACCTAATCGTCGACGTTCCCAAATAAATCGAGAAAAGAAGGATTTTCTTCGGCAAAGAAAATTATCTACTCGTCGACGTTCCCAAGTAGTTCGAGAAAAGGTGAATTTTCCTCGGCAAAGAATACAATCGTCGACGTCCATAAAAAGATCGAGAAAAGGATTTTCTTCTGCAAAGAAAATTACCTAATCGTCGACGTTCCCAAATAAATCGAGAAAAGAAAGATTTTCTTCGGTAAAGAAAATTATCTAATCGTCGACGTTCCCAAATAGTTCGAGAAAGGGTGGATTTTCCTCGGCAAAGAATACAATCGTCGACGTCCATAAAAAGATCGAGAAAAGAAGGACTTTCTTCGGCAAAGACAATTATCTAATCGTCGACGTTCCCAAATAGTTCGGGAAACGGTGGATTTTCTTCGGCAAAGAAAATTACCTAATCGTCGACGTTCCCAAATAAGTCGAGAAAAGGTGGATTTTCTTCGGCAGAGAAAATTACCTGATCGTTAGCGATGTAAATTTGACGACACGTCAGCTTGTCTCGAGTGTTGTACAGTTTCTAATGACGACGTTCTCTCGTGTCTCCAGGCGACGGCCGCGTGCACAAAGTTGTACAATGGATAGACAGTAACGGGGAATCCCAGTCGATCCTGTTGGACGTTTTTGACGTGACGCCGGGCGAGCCGATTCAGGCGATGGAAATCTCCAAGGAGCACAAGGCTCTTTACGTTGCCTCCGACCATCGGATAAAGCAGATCGACCTGGTGATGTGCACACGCAGATACGACAATTGTCTTCGATGCGTCCATGATCCTTACTGTGGCTGGGATAAGGACACTAATACGTGCAAACCGTACGAACCTGGGTGAGTGTGTCTATTAGTTTGAAACTGAAAACTGGAATGTGTTGAACGAGGAGTGGATATTTAAAGATATTGTAATTGAAAGGTTTCATATCGCAAAGTACTGAATTTTCAGAAATTGAAATAACAACGGTACAATGTTTTGTCAGTACCATAATTGCTGTTTATATTAGAGGAATCTTAACACTCCAGAAAGAGAAAAAACTGTTTTGAATAAAAATGATTTCGTATCGATAAATGCTCGAAATACTCGTTTCTATGTGTTTCGTCGTGAACAATAGATTCTTTTGCCGAACATTCGTCGCGGCCGACAAATTATTTTACGGCAGCCTTGCTCGTTTTTTTAAATTTTACATTTTGGTCTACTTGCAACGTTATGAATAATTCTTCAATATTTCTGCAAGGAGTATCACGGAATTATTGCACCTTGAAAGCAGACATCTTTGCAAGTATCGGGTATAAATATTCTTATCGAGAATTCAAATATTTGTTAAATATTGTAATTCACGAGTGTGAAGGTACGACCAGAGGTAAATATTGATTCGCGAGAGGTATAAACGTTTCTAAAGAGCTCCGTGGGTAGTCTTCTTTACTCCATGAAAAATGCATGAAACACGAGGCGCTCGGTTTTTCATGAAAGTTCATAAAGAACATTATGTACTATCATTCTTCATAAATTTTGATCGTTTTATTCCTTCAGCTTATTATCCCAACAACTTCTTACACTTTCTTCCTTAAACACCGCTATATATTAAAATGGTACAGTGATAAATTTCAGTTGAAAAGAATTCTACGGTAATCGATACTCTTGTGGAATTAAAAGGTAGCAGCATCTCTTCAACGCTTTTCACATTTCACGATAAAAAAAATTTCACGTACAAGGTGACCTAGTCGGGTGGATTCGAATTAACGAATTCGACGAACATTGCCCTCTATTTCTCTCTTCCTCGCGCTGAAATTCTAATAACTCCTTTCAAACTTGACTCATTCAACTTTTTCCAGTTCATCAGATATTTAAACGCACATCTGTACGTCCATTTGTCACAATGTAAAGCGTAAATTTTCGTTTCATCCCTGTATCTCGTGCATCGGGAACGTGTATTTTAGAAATGAATTTACTCCAGGAATTTTTCAAAATTTTCCGAAAAATAGCGTTTCCTAAGTTGCACAAAATTATTTACAACCAAAAAAAAAAATAGCTATAGTACTCGTAATCACACTTTCATTTTTTCTTTTGAAATTTCACGAAAAATAGCATTTCCTGAATTACACAAAATAGTATTTTCACAAGAATATTTACCAAAAAAAAAAAGAAAATAGCTACAGTACTCGTAATCACACCTTTATTCCTTTCTTCTTTGACAGACTTCTTCAGGATGTGTCGAACAGCACGGCGGATGTTTGCGACAGTAGCGTGGGCAAACGAAAAGAAGAAAATAGCTACAAAACTCGTAATAACACTTTCATTTTTTCTCTTGACATTTCACGAAAAATAGCGTTTCCTGAATTACACAAAATAGTATTTTCACAAAAACATTTCCAAGAAAATAGCTACAGTACTCGTAATCACACCTTTATTCCTTTCTTCTTTGACAGACTTCTTCAGGATGTGTCGAACAGCACGGCGGATGTTTGCGACAGTAGCGTGGGCAAACGGAAGCTGGTAGTCACGTGGGGCCAGTCGGTGCACCTCGGTTGCTTCGTGAAGATGCCGGAAGTGTTGGCGAATCAGGAAGTGAGGTGGTACCACTACAGCAAAGAGAAGGGCAGGTATCAGATAGCTTACAAATATGGAGCCGGAGGGGACAAGTTCATCGAGACGTCCGAGAAAGGCCTGGTGATCGTTGGTGTGAACGAGCAAGACGCCGGAAGATACGATTGCTGGTTAGGTGGATCGCTCCTGTGCTCGTACAACATCACAGTCGATGCCCACAGATGCTCCGCGCCTGCCAAGTCCAACGACTATCAGAAGATCTACTCGGACTGGTGCCACGAATTCGAGAAATACAAATCGGCCATGAAGAGCTGGGAGAGGAAACAAGCGGTGAGTAAATCGGTTCGTCGATTTTTATATCGTTTTATTTCTACTGCAATTGATAAATGATCAAATTCTATTTACGTTACTTCTCTGTTATTTGCAAATCTGAAAAGTTCTCTGAACCGTTGTGGAATTCGAGGAAAAATGGTTTAAATAACGCTGGCAAATGTGTAATTTAACTCTGAACGTAACGTGGTTTTAAAACTTCAATTTACGCTTCGTGTTTATTAAAGAACAGAATTTTCTCGGATTGCTAACATTTATTTTATACATTTAAAATTCTTTTCTATTTCCACGGATGGTTGCAATGTGAAGGGTGGTTTAATATAACGTGGCACGAAGTCAGAATAAAAAGTACGAAAGCTTCCCTAGTGATGATTATACTCTTTATTAAAAAATGAACGTAATATGTAATATTTCCAACTTTTTCCTATTCTTTATACACGTATAATGTAACAAAAAGTAGCTTTCAGAAAAAATCACTGCGTTAACCCTATTCGATTCTTTTTCACTTTCTTCATAATAGACCTAACAGTTTAACCCCTTGACTTATGATCTTCTCTGCTGACTATGCATCTAAGCGTCAGTTATGTGCTCTTGTCGATCAAAAAAAGCTAATATATCATAGATTAATTACATTTGATAATCCTCAGTCTCCTAAATTAAAACAAAAATTTTCGTCCCACCTTGACCAAAATGTGTGCCACGAGTCTGCCTCGTTACCGAAGCAAGGGCTTAACGAATAAATCCAGAAGTAACGCAGAAAGCAGACAAAGCACGCGTACCACTCGGCACAGTATTTTCTAATCACTCTAAAGCGATCAATTCGACCGCCTGCTTGAGGATCTCCGGTCTCTTCTCTGTTCCAGCAATGCGCCTCGAGGCAGAACGACAGCAATCAGAATTTGCACACGAACGAGGTATACGGCACCCCTCTGGTCTGATGGAGCCGATCGTTGGAGCCGTCGTCGAGCCGAGACCCCGACACAATACCACGTACAAGCGTCCTGCCGAAGAATCGCGGTCCATCCACGATCAGTTGGACGAGCCTCACTCTCCTTCTGACCGGTTACACCACTACTTTTGTCCTTCTTGCTACCGGCGATCTTTCGACCAAGTGAGAGCCACGGGATCGAAATGGGAGAAACACGTCCGTATCAAGAAACGGCAAACCGAACGTCCGTAACACGAGCAGCTCGATCACCGCGACAACAACAACAACGTCCATCCTCGATCGGTTGGACAGAGCCTCGTTCCAAATGGTTCCAATTGGAGCCTCGAACCAACGAACCAGAAGTTGCAACAAAACTATCCGTTCATTTTCCGACGAAGATTTTTTTAATCTGACTAAACGAGGCTGTTCGCAAGGAAGAAAAAAATAAACGCGCGGTGCTAATCGCACGATCCACTCGCAAAATGACTGCCATTACAAAACGTATTATCGTATTCTTACTTGCCATAGTGCGCGCGTGTACGGTCGAGCACTACTTCCCTCCCCGAGGATCTGGTTTCGTTTATCGGTGGCCAAACCCTCCCCACGAACGTTTATTCTTCACATGCCGTGTGTAAATAACAGGACACGTGACGCGGTACGAAGAACCGAGAGGATTCGAACGATTCGAGACTTAATGACGGTCGTCTTGAGAAAGTGCGCTTAGGTATGAGCGATTGTCATGGAAGAAGACCCTCCCCCCCGGATCGGATGGGCAAAACTGTGCTTACTTGTGCTCGCCGATACACACACGGTTCCTAAGCTTTCGTTTGTCTCGCGGCGTGAACCGGTTCTCTGAACGAAAGAAAAAGGGAAGAGGCAGAAGAAGAAGAAGAAGGCGGGGGAGATCGAGAAGGAACGAAGTTATTAGAGAGAGAGAGAGAAGGATCGTTCGCGGTGACTGAGGCTGATCGGAGAGAGTGATGGGGAAACGCGGCTCGAATCGAGGCGTCCGTCCGCGAAGCAACGTGTTTAGAAACCGGAAATCAATCCTCCTGTTTCCTTAGATCTGTGATACGAACGAGACGAGACGGATTATCGAGCGGAGCGAGCCTCTTGTCGCGAACGAACGCGTTCGGTTGGCCGCTCTTATCTCCGAGTTAGAGAGGTCACAGGAGTTAATTAACCGAGAGATAATGAAAGAAGATGAGATTGAAGAGAGAGAATGTACTGTAAGGTCGAGCTTCAGCATAGTTTTAACGAGCCAGAGAAAAAATAACGACTCAAGATCGGAGAGGTACGCGATCTTGTATGTAAGTTGTATATCGATTTGATAGCGGAGAAAGAGGATGGGAGAGAGAGAGAGAGAGAGAGAGAGAGAATGGAACGTGTCTGGAGGGAGAACGCGACGCCAGGTCGACGCGTTTTCTGAAATCGTCACGCAGGTTACACATGAGATTATTAAAATCGGCTACTACGTGGATCACTACGTAGATCACCGCGACTTTAGCTTTGTTAGCTTCTTCATATCAGCTGTTTCGCGATCTGCACCGCCATCTCTGTCTTCAACTCGCACGGATTCCTTTCATCAACTCGACTCGATGGAAACACGTTCGTTTTATAACCGGCGACCCGCTGCGTTTTCGTTTCCCGCGTTTTTTTCTATTTTTTTTTTTTTTAGAGTATAGATACGTATTTCGATAGGCTTCTGTTCCTTGTTCCCATAGGTTAATAGCTTCTCGCGGCTCTTTTGCAGTGATCCTGTTGGAACGCTTCCAAAAACTTCATTTTCATATCGTGAAAATTAAAAATCATGAAATTGTAGAGTAACGTTGATTTATATATTTAAAACCTGGAGCTAGAAATCTGCTTAAAAAAGAATTCGTTTTTCCGGAAGAATTTAGAAGAGAAAATGTATCCTCGCAAAGAGAAGAATTCGTCGATCAGTTTTACAATTTGTAACTCCAGATCTATTCCGGAAGAAGACTTCCGATAACGCGAATTTCTAAGTTAAAATTTCACCGGAAGATATTTTCACCGGCATCACTGTAATTAAACCGCGTTCACAGACATCCGAAATATCCTACGGTACCACTGTTACCATAATCATCGTGAAGAACTTTGAAGGTGCTACACAGGTGCGTTCGTTGCGTGCTGGTAAGGCCTGTAATCCTTAAACCCACTATACGCTCCTCGAATTTAAACATAGACACGAAATGCAAACAGCCACACACACACACACTCTGCAGCGTCTGATTCTGATACTTGAACGTCGCGTGAAATGCTACAGATTCTAGCGAAACAGAAAACACATTCGTATATACCTCTGAGCCTAGATTAGAGTAACTCCGTTTACTTGACGATTTTTCAGCCAGATCGTATCGGGTCTCGATCTCCGGTGAAATCGTCGAGCAAATCACCACGAATCGCGGGTCAACCGGGCAGACGATCGATTCGAAAGAATCTCAACATCAGGAATAATCTCACGCTTACGACACGAACGTTTCGTGGAAACAAACGTCGGCGAGCATACGTTTCTCTTTTTTCAATTTTCCGTTCGATTAAATAGTTCTATCGACGATTTACCGGTCTCATCCAGATGTACCCCTAAGTTCGACGCGCGTCAGCGCGTTTCCAGTGTTCAGTAAAACAGGTAGAATCGTTTCTCTTCCGGTCCGGGAACGTCAGTGTGTACATAGGATCGTCATAGTGCATGGTATTTTTATAAAAATTCGCTTCGGAACGATGCAACCGTAGACGCGAGGAATATACCGTTCTCTGCTCTCCGCGAGTTTCTCCCTATTTTTCTTTTCGTACACTTCCTTTTCTCCTCGTTTCTCTCCTTTTCCCCCTCCTTTGTTTCACTATTCTTTATGATAAACGTATCGTATTACTCGTAGCAATTAGTTTACTCTATTTTTTAACACGTAGAACTCGGATCGTCGAGAATTAGCGGGAGAACTTCTCTCTCGACGATCGCGTTAGCTTCTACAAGGAACGGAGATGGATGCTTACCGGTGCTGTATTAAACAATCCGTGGAACGGTCGCTGTTTCCTGAAGACCCAGTTCGCCATCATTAGTATACATACGAGTAGGCTATAAAACATAGAGTGTAGAGCGGGGTGGTGACACCTCTCGTTGTGTGTGTATGCGTGCGCGCGTGTGTGTGTGTGTTCCCCGTCGAAGAACGACCGATCGGGACGAAGTAGCGTGGGGGAGAATGCTGAAGAAGTATAATAAAAAAAGAACCGTAGAAAAATAAGAAAAAAAAAA